GGATTAAGAAGTGTTTGGTGGGTGGGAAGATGGAAAATGTGCCGGGAAAGGTGAGCTCTCTCTAAAACATAAGATATTCTTTGCTTTACTACAGATTTGAGTATCTTATCTTCAGCAAAACACCTGTGTGGTAAATTAACAAGCCCAACCAATCATATCCATGGATTAAGAAGTGTTTGGTGGGTGGGAAGATGGAAAATGTGCCGGGAAAGGTGAGCTCTCTCTAAGTCGGGAAAACACGGCACGGTTATTATCAGAAACTACAAGCACCAGAAACATCGTGGGAACAGGCAGTTACAACCATTTTTGTTCAAACATCATTTAATAAAATTTCTCAACAGCCACTGTAGTACCATGTAAACACCTACGAAATGTTGTGTTTCTGGTACTTTGTTTTCTGTTATTTTATTCAAATTCAGATTTTACTAAAATGTGCTAAGCATCTGTTTTGTGTACTGAAGCCACATATCCCAAATCTCACAAGGCAATCCTGCAAAGTCTGCCTCACAATTATACTATGTCTACACATACACATTATAGTTAATGCAGACATTTACTAGTCACTGCATTAGAGAATTCCACCGGCATTATTTTAGGAGCTATCCATGAGGTTCTGTGAGATATGATTGCATTTAGTGATTGCCTCAACCCACTGAGCTAGGGTTCTTTGAATTATTTTTAAGCCAACACTTACGGGGTGCTTTTTTGTGTCCAGGAACTATGTGAAATACATGACCTCATTTACTCATTACGACGTATTTATGGGCAGTGCACTAGCATTGTACCCATTTTACAGATGAAAAATTTGAGAGACAAAGAGATTAGGTGACTTGAACAAAGTTAAATCACCTGCTCAGGTTTTTCTGGTGGAGTGAAGATCTTAAATTAAATCTTCTGATTCTAGGGTGAGAGCTTTTATATTAATACACTGCCTTCCATGTCTGTGACACAAGGTAACACACTTGTCATATTGCTTGGGATACACACCAATGGCTTCTTTACAAGAGATATGAGCATTTTCAAAAGGGAGTCTCTCAAATTATGATGATGTCTGTCTAGGCTTCTCATGTTCCCCCCATCCTGACCCTCTCCCACCTATTCCATTTCTCTGTCTACTCATTCTCCAACAACCAACTTTGTTTAAATTGGGTCATTCACTTATTGCCAGTTGAGTACCTCATGCTCAGCTTAAGAGCTCCATGTGTTTTCTTGCCAGAAATGCCATTTCCTTTATCCTTCTTCTACCCTTGAATACTAAGACTGAGACTTTCTGGGATCCTACCTGGTCACTTTGGTCTTAAATGATTTCCCTTTTCTTGATTAACATGTGAATTCACAATCAATTGCATTCTGATTGTCAGTGCCTGGTTTCACTAGTCTTGAAATATTTTTAATGGATCTTTCCCAAATCTCACACCTATATCTATGATGATCTCATTCACACCAAGGAAGGGATAATTATTTGTAGTATTTATTGAGGGCTACACCTCTGCCATAAAGTATGATTGGGACTTCTCAAAAATTGTCTTGGATATACAGTGTCAAGAATAGATTATCAAGACCATTTTACAGGCCAAAAATTGAAGCTTTGAGACATGAGTAAATTGTGGAAGATGATTGTGGCACAGTCAGGGGCCAAAAATCTTTGACCCCAACACCCATGTTTATCAAACATTATACTGACTACTCCCCCGAGAGTGATATTTTTTTTCACGGATTCTCTCACTAGTTCATGTAATGATTTCAAAGATCACCTAGCATAATAAAAAAAGAGTCTAGAATGGTCCGGAGTGAGGCTCAGGAGATTGAATTTCAGGCACACTAGCCGGATTTGGGTGGACACATAAATTTTCTTTGGATCTTACTAATCCCTGCCTCAAGGGTAGGAATAATCCCATCAGGAAATGTACACTCCAAGGTGGTCATTACCTGCTTGGGAAATCACATTTACCTGAAGGATTTTTTGAACAGTAATTATGCCACGTGTTGCTGCAAAAATAAGAACACTTTAAGCAGAATTTTTCAAAATGACTTTTTTTTTTTTTCAAATTTGCATGCTTTCCTTTGTTTCAAAATTACTGCCACCATCTAATGAAAAGAAATAGGTTAAATTAATCAAAGAAAAAAATTTAGGCTGAACATCAAAAAAAAAAAATCTGGTAATGGTGAGATCCATTAGACTCTATTAGAATCCCCATTGATTGAGTCATTTAAAAGAAGACTGCCATCCCCTGGAGATGATTCTGAGACAACCCCACGCCCGGGGAGAGAGGAGCATATGGAACCCACAGGCTCCTCAGTCACTAATGTGGGTGATTTTTTCTGAATTCCCTCATTTTGCCTTTTTGTCAACAAATCCTGCCATCATTTCACTCACATCTTTGCAGCATTTTCCAGAGCTGTTAACAGAAATCATTTCACAGAGAGTGGGAAAGAATATCATTTTGTCATTTTTGGGGGGGGAGTAGAGGGAAGAACAGGCAGTCTCCGCTTCCTGAGGCTTTCACGATGAAAAGAGAAAAGGAGAATGAGGCCTCCCTGCTAGTACGGTGGGAGAAACAACTTTGCTTGGAAGCACTGTGCAGAAATAGGACTAGAAACACCCCAGCCAACCTCTCTCCTTATTAACTAGAAAGAAGAACAGTTTGGGACCACATTGATACCCTCAAACTTATTGGCACTAATGAGCTGTGTGAACTTAATCATTACATTATATCTGAAAGGTAAGAGGGACCTTAATGATCATCAGGTGTAGTCTACTTCTTAATGCAGGAACTCCTTTTAATTACAGAATTCCTGTGAGATGGGCATTGGAAGCTCATTATTTCATTGAACTCTCCATCTCATGGTTAGCTGTTTCATTTGTTAAGAGAGTCTCCCTTTTATTGAGCTGGGACAGACATTCATTCATTAGTACTTGCTTTCCCCTTTGGAATAATAATAATAATAGAAAAACAGTGGTAATTATGATGACGATGATGAGTAGCAGAATTTTTTTCTATATGCTAAGGATGTTATACAAATTTACATGTAAGTTCTTATATATCATCAAAAAAATACTATATTATACTATAGGCACTATATATTATAGGCACTAATTTGCTGCTATTTTACAGAAGGAGGAATTGAGATATAAAGTGATGGAATGACCTCATGCAGGGTCACAAAACTCATGATGGAAATTAAAATTTTTTTTTTTTTTTTTGAGACAGAGTCTCACTCTTTTGCCCAGGCTAGAGTGCCGTGGCGTCAGCCTAGCTCACAGCAACCTCAAATTCTTGGGCTCAAGCGATCCTTCTGCCTCAGCCTCCCGAGTAGCTGGGACTACAGGCATGCGCCACCATGACCAGCTAATTTTTTCTATATATTTTTAGTTGTCCGATTAATTTCTTTCTATTTTTAGTGAAGACAGGGTCTCGCTCTTGCTCAGGCTGGTCTCGAACTCCTGAGCTCAAACAATCCGCCCACCTCGGCCTCCCAAGAGTACTAGGATTACAGGCGTGAGCCACCGCTCCCGGCCGGGAATTAAAATTTTTAATTCATTCAAAATACATTGTCTTCTCACTCCATTCTTTTAGGTTGCACATTCCCAACTCTCTTAAGCATTTCTTAATTCAAATGACTTTCAGCTACCACGTGATTATGGTAGATTTTATTTTAGAAGTTTCTAGCTTTCTTCCCTAATGTATGGAAACTTGAACTGGAAATAATACTGGAAATGTGGATTGACAAGTGCAGCCTATAGAAGATTCTGCTGTCATCCTTCATCACTTTCCAAATCAAGTTTCTGCATCTGCAAAAGGTATTAATAGCAAAGGTGGTAAGTGACATCAGAAGAACATCACAGTACAACAACTTTAAGGAAAGAAAACACACTTGAGAAGACCCCTTTGCAATTTTCAGATCAGAAGAATTCTTTTTATTTGTTTGAAATGTCACCATTTTCTCTGTAAAAGTGAGTATAGAACTTAGTTGAAACGATTCCCTAGTCCATTTGAGGATATGGAGCTACACTTCCCTCCATTTTTCAAACTTGGAGGTGAATGTGCTCCTGTCTCAGCTGCCCTGAGGGCAGCCACACAGAGGGGGCTTTGCTCTCGTGAATTCAAGAGCTTTACTGTAAGCTTCTAAGGAAGCAATGCTGCTAGGAGGAGCTTGGGCTTTCAGGTTAGTCAGGAAGAGAAATATGATCTAGGTGTGATTGTCTTTGGGTGGCCAAGGAAAACCAGGGAGCAGGGGGCCAGAGGATGTATAGGCACTACTCACACATCTATAGTCGGGATTGGGGCCACTACACAAGTCTGGCTGCTGAAGCCTTTGCCAGAGAGCTCTGATGCTGATGTGGAAATTGCACTGAACAAGAACAGGCCTTTAAAGAAAATCCAGGGGTAGATGGAGGAAGTAAACTAGGACACTTTCAATGAACTCATACACATTCAAGGTGAGTAACAAGACCAGTGCCAAAAGAAGCAGATAGATTTCATCAAAAGGGAAAAATAGCAGTAGTAGCAGTTACAGTAATAAAATAATACTACGGATAATAGAGTAACATCAGTAACATGAGGAACCCAACGTGGAAATAAGGAGAAAAGGGGGCCTTTGGAGTGAGGCTATTGTTACACCTTTCCACGTTTATTCCCATGTCCTTTTCCATGTGGCTTTGTTGTCTAAGGATCTTCAAGAAAGTGTCCTGGGAGAAGCACCCTGGTTCCACGAAAAGTAGACACAATTAAATATGGGGAGTTCAGGGTTACAATGCTGGTTATTAAGTATTATTGTGGTTGGGGACATTTTCTGTGATCACATACCTATAAAATAAATATATTATATATACATATATATGTACATAAAATAAAACCAGTAATGCGGCATGCTTAAAAAAAAAAAAAAAAAAACCTCTTTTTTTTTTTTTTAAACTCCATGGAAACTTTTAATAGCAAAGTCCTCAGGTCTCAAAAAAAGAAATCTCTGGGGGTTGAAAAAAGATTTTTCTCTTTGGATCACAGGGTATGGGAGATCATATGGGCTGCTTCAATGATATGGTAAATGGTCGGATGTTGTTTGTCACCTGGCTGGGCTACAGGTGTGGGCAAGGGCTGGGGTAAGTTGCTTCGATGGTTGACTATGAAGAGTGGGTTGAGCTGGCTCAGCACTTCGTCACTCACTGAGATGCCATCCAAGTACTGCTTCAGCATCTCCCGCAGCTTCCCATTGATTTCCAACAGCTGGGCTCGTCTGTGTTGGAGGTTCAGTTGCTCCAGTTTCACTTTGTTGTACCTTTTCCAGAAATTCTCCATCCCTACAGAGTCCATCATCACCTTTGCGAGCTCCTCAGTAAGCTCTCCCCGGTTAGTCTCAATCCCCTCCTGCGCCTTAGGAGTCAATACTGATGAATAAAAAGGCAGCACTTTTTCTTCTTCTGTTTCAAATTTCCTACATATTTCAGCAAGTTTAAGGATCTTTTCACCCTGTAGTTTCTGTATTTTTCTCATCTGTGCTACAATCTCTTTGGAGCTCTTCTCGTCCTTCACCTCCAGGGTCTCAAAGGCAATCTTTCGATCCTCGGTGGCATCAGTGTAATTCTTGAGGGCATCCTGGAACCTTCTCCACAGATCTTCCACTGTGTTCTCCAGTTGTAGTCTTAGAAAGTGCTCGTCTTCTAAATTCTTATTTTTGAGGTCATCCCACATGCTCTGGTACTCCAGCTTGCTTTCATACTCAGAATCTATACAGTTCTGCTTCATGGCCATGAAGACATCTTGTAGATAGCGAATCTCTTTCTCATGTTGGTCGATAATTGTCTTCCTTTCTGTCTCAAACTCCTTGGTTAGGGCCTCCAGCTCCGTGTTGTAACTTTCCTCCAGCAGGTTAAGCCAACATCTCTGTAGGGCCAAGAGCTGGTCGACATTGTGCAAGTGGCTGTGCAGGGCATGGGCGTACAGCTCCTCGGCTTCTGACAGGTCTTTTGCTAAAGACTTGATTACACTGTCCTTGCAGTCCACCACTTGTTCAAATGTTTGGCTGAGGATCTCAATGTCCTTAAGAAGTTCTCTGGTCTTGACTTCCCGAAGGACAGTTCTCCACTGTGTGTTAATCTTATTAAGGTTCAGAGCACCGTTGTGTTCCTCCTTGGCCAGCTTGTCCTTCAAGAACTGGCTGAGGAGCCTCTCTTTCTTCTTGGCCATCTCCTCCTCTGCCAGCAACTTCTGCTGAAACAGAAGCAGCTGCTCCTCATTCGACAGGGGTGTCTTGGCCTTTTTTTCTTTCTTAGACATGGCTAGGCGAGGGATTGGATTCCGGCAAGGAGCCTTGGCCAGCCTCGGCCAGTGTTAGAGGGAAGAAGGAAAACGCCCCTACAAATGGGGCTTCCAGAATTGTCCCTGGGCGGTAGTGGAACCTTAGATCTCAGTTCTCGGGCAAGAGAGAGCCCCCGCTATTGGTGAGACCGACAGAGCTCCACGGTGAAAAGACGCATCTCGTCTCCTAGCAACGAGGATTTCTCTAAAATGGCGCGGCCAAAACGCCTCTTTTGTTCTACCTCTAAAATTACTAAGTCGCAGTTCCAGAGGCAATTCCTTGTTATTTTTTAAAATGTTGCTTCTTGTGGAGGTAACATCCATTGTTCTATGCAAGGTGCTAATATGACTCTTTCTTAATTTATAACATCTAGGTAGTGCCATTTCCTATCTCCTGAAGATGAATATTTAGTTCACTTAAATTACCCTCACATCCCATCTACCACTCACTTTTTAGTTAATATTCTAGTTTTTTGGGTGGTTATCATCGTTTTAAACAATTTCTTAAAAATATGTTCAGTGCTCACTTCAGCATCACATATACTAAAGTTGGAATGACACAGAGATTAATACAGCCCCTGCTCAAGAACAGCATGCATATTTGTGCAGATTTTTATATTTTTATGAACTATAATTCAGCCTTAAAAAAAGAGTAGAATTTTAAGTATGCTGCAACATGGATGAACCTTTAAGACATTAGAATAAGTGAAATAAATTAGACACAGAGGGCCAAATATCTGATTCTACTTATAGAGGTAACTAGAGTAGTCAAATTCATAGAGACAGAAAGTAGAATGGAGTTTGCTGGAGACTGGAGAGAGAGAGAAATAGAAAGTTGTTGTTTAATGGTTATAGAGTTTTACTTGGGGAAGATGAAAAAATTCTGGAGATGAATTGTGGAGATGGTTGCATAACAATTCAAATACACTTAATGCCACCTAACTGCAAACTTAAAAATGGGTAACATGGTAAATTTTATGTTATGTATATTTACCACAATTACATATATATGTGTATACATATTACAAGTACATACAAAGAATATCTTTTTATTATTCAGCCTCTGCCCATATCTCTTGACTTACCCTTTATAAAATAAACATCTCTGTGTGTTTTCCCCACAATCTTCACCCTTGTTATACTAGAACAACTCCATGCACAAACTTGTAAGATATGTAAAAGCAATGATTGAAGATATTGGTGCTGTTCCCAAATAATTATTCCTCTTCTCTGCCTTCTATGCACATAGGGGGATTGAACTTTCTAGACCCACGGTGGCTGATGTAGCCAAGTTGACAAACTTTGGCCACTGAACTAAGGAGCAGGAAAGTGAGTCGTGCTCAGACCTGGGCGTTTAAATACCGAGTTTTCATTCCTCTGCCACAGCAACTGGCTAAGTTTGAGATAGCTTCTTTTTTTCTCTTTATGTTCTCAAATTTCCTAATGATATATTTAGGAGTAGTTTTTTTTTTTTAAATCCACCTTTTTTGTGTTTTTGTGTAATTTGGGTACCCTTCCAAAAATAGAAATATTCATGTCTTTCTTCAGATATCCAAATTTTTCCTGTGTTTTACTTTGCTTATTTGTTTCCTTTTATTTTCTGCTTTCTCCTTCCAGAGCTCATGTTTGCCAGATAGTGGGTATCTTGGACTGTTCTCCTATACTTTTTATATTTTACCACGTGTTTTCTGTCTTTTTGCCCCCTTCGTTCTATGTTCATGTTGAGTTCTTAGATTATCTTATTGATTTTTTGGTAGTATCCTTCAAATCTCTCTGAGAATACTAATTAGATTTTCTTTTCAAATTTCTTCTCTTCCATGAATTATTTCTGTTTCCACTGTAATTGTTTTGTTTGTTTATCTTGTCATTTTAATGCTGCTGGTTTCTTTATAAGCCTGAGTGACTATAGGTTATTTGCATGCATTTAAAACAGGAGGCATTGGGTGGACTTTTCCAGGTAGTGAGCTGAATTTTCTCTACTGCTGTATATATAGGCTTGTTTTCCCTGTGAGATTCCTCCTTCAACTGGGAGGCTGAACTGACCAGCTAGGCACTTGACTCACTGAGAAGCCAGCCTTTTGCTAAGGGATAGCCAAAGCAGGAAGAAATTTACCCTGTGATGCTAGCTCTCACCTAGTGCTAATTCTCCCCAGGCAATTTATTGTATTTTTTTAATGTTGTGGTCATCATTTTTGTTATGATGAGAGTTGTTATTTTGCTTTGTTTTCTTTTGCCTTCAATCAACATGAAGTGTCTTGTATACGTGTTATATCCAGGAATGCGGGAAAGATAGGAGGGGAGCAGGGAACTAATTGGCTCCTTGTTCCAGAGACAGATTTTTGGTCAGGTTCTCTACACCTCTCTCCTTCCGATTTTGGCCCCTTTCATAATCCCATCCTCCACATCTACTGATTTTATTCCAAAAGACTTTGGGGTTTTGCCAGGAAGATTAGCTCCCTCCTTTCCTGCCATCCTTTTCTGTGTTAATTTTTGACTATAGATTCGTCAACCTTTGTCCAAATGTATGGTCTCCGTTCATTTTTCATCTCTCAACAGTGCTTTGAAATCTAATATTGGATGTTGCCTCATCTCCCAGCCTCTCTCCTGTTAGGTTTATGAGTGTCATTTCGTTTTGATTCTCTCTTATTTTAATGAGAAGTGGAGGCAAATGCAGGCACTTTACCACCATGTCGAGCCAGAGCTCACCTTGCGCACTTGCAAAATTAAAGGACCACACTACATTTTGTGCGTCTGCAGTGCTTCTCACTGTGTTCTTCTCGAGGGCCATAGATGGTAAGTTTGGACACATAGAACTGAGGGGGACTTTTTTGGTGTGTCCCGGCCACGAGAAACATCAACAACTTTTAATGGGTTTTAAGCTATTTGAAAAGAAAGCTGTTAAGAAAATGAAAGGCAGATGAAAGTCAATAGCCCTTTCTCTTGCCATGTCTTTTTTTTTTTTTCAAACCATACCTTGAAAGAAATCAGACGTAACCAACCCAAAATTCCATTATTAAACTATCTGTTCTGCTTTTCAATATACCTAGTTGCAATGACTTAGTTGAAAAGAAACTAAAAATGATAATAGTAGTCAGTATCAGAAAACCTAAAACATTTCAATAGATTTTCTGTTTGCATTTGAGATGTTGTATCTCAGAGAATCTCAAATTCAGGTTTTATTCTTGTAATTTTCTGCTTCTATAAATATTTCCCAAGTCATTTTCCTCAGTTCTTATAAGAATACATATGGTACTCCTGAAAAATATTTTCACAAGTGCCTGTGGGTGATTTCCTGGTGCTTAAATCCATCCTATGGTGTATAAAATCGTGCCGATTCAAAATGTTCAGTGTCGATAGCAGCATGGTTTTCAGAATCCATCCTGGCCTTCTTTCTATCCACCTGCTTTTATTAATTCACCCTCACTGTTGTGCTCCCTCAACTTCTTGGCTCTCATTGATGTAGTCCAGTTCCTGATATATAGCTCAGCATCTTCCCTTTCCTAATATTCCATTTCAATCCTCTTCTCATTTATATTAACTGTGACTGTCTTTTTTTTTTTTTTTTTTGAGACAGACTCTTGCTCTGTTTCCCTAGGTAGAGTGCAGTGGCATCATAATAGCTCACTGCAACCTCAAATTCCTGGGCTCAAGCGATCCTCCTGCCTCAGCCTCCCTAGTAGAGAGTAGCTGGGACTATAGGCATGTGTCAGGACACGAGGCTAATTTTTCTATTTTTAGTAGAGATGGGGGTCTTGTTCTTTCTCAGGCTGGTCTCAAACTCATGAGCTCAAGCAATCCTCCTGCCTCAGCCTCCTAGAGTGCTAGGATTACAGGTATGAGCCACCACGCCCAAACCTGTGACTGTCTTAATCACAGTCATATGTCCAAGCCTGTTTTGACTCTATATTTCTTAGATTATTATATTTTTTTAAAGATTAGACAGATAGTTATAGTCCTAGGTGGATGGAGAGAAAAAGCAAAAGAAGTTTCTCCAACCTGAGCTCAGTGCATCAAGCCAGAGTGAAACACTAGATTAACATACAGGGAGAAGAACTATTGGTCAAGCTAAAGTAGTGCAAGGTGCGTGACGTGCTAGGGAACACTGGAGCATGGAAAAATTAGTTGGAAAAAAGTCAACAGATAGTGGCCTGGGTGATTCATTGAGACAGGGGCTGGACTTCACAGCTGGGCTTTTTGGTATAGTGATCGCTTACAACACAGAGAGAATATTGGAAATTGAAATTTGAGTTTCATCCCACATATTATCCATTGAAATCAAACATAAATGACTCATGTGTTTACCAAGAATCCGATAGACACACGCAAGGGAATGCATTGTGCTAAATATTATGGAAAATCCAACAGTGACTGAGGCACTATCCTTGAAGAAACCTGTATGTGGCAGGGGAGTGAAAGATAAGTTCGCCTGTAATGGAGAAATGTAAGAGAAGAAAAATGTGTCAATGTTTTGTAGGTGCAAGTATAAGTTATTTAGGATTAAAAGGCTACAACACATCTATGGCTATAGTTCAAAAAAATAGAGTTTTATATGCTGGACCTTGGACCCACATGATCAAGGCAGCTGTCAATTCCCCCGGGAGCACACAAGCGATGAGGGACGATGAGGGACGACGAGGACAGCTTTCCATTCAGCTCCATCATGGCCCGTGACAGGGAATGAAGCAAAGTTTCCATTTATTGAAAGTGTGCTGAGGGTGGCCAGAAAAGAAGTTCCTATTAATCACTCTTGTTTGTCTGTAAAATGAAAATGCTTCCTTCATAAAAATATTTTGAATTATACCATCTGGCAAGTTAACTTGCATAATTACAAATCCAAATCTTTCTGTTGATTTTCTCCTAGGAGAACTTAAAGATACTATCCTCCTTCAGTCCTCTTTAAAAATTAACAACAGCCATGAATCACCACTGATTCTTTGGCCCAGTTCTAGATGTTTCCTTAGACATCTTTGCCATTTAAAAAATTCTTTTCATTAATGTGTTGGGCTATACACATACACTGTATTTCATTTACAGTAGAGTCTCCCATTTAGGCGTCTTGCTAAAGGAAACGTCATTCTGTGATTAACATCACTTATCTTAGTAAAGAAAACACCCATGTCACCAGTATATATACATATGGCTTAGTTATTCTACTCAGTGGAGCTGTTGTTTTTTCCATTGTCATTGTCTTCATTGTT